ATATTTGAAAAAAATTAATAAAGAAGTGTAAAAATTATCTTTTAATTCCCTTTAGTATACATAGCAAAAGTGGACAGACTGTGACCCTTCGAGTGCAAATATCAAAAACACATCAGAACCATCTCCACACTCCTGGTGCTGTCAATCTTGTTCTGTGTAAAGTAGTAGCCACCACACATTGTGGCCAACTGGTTACCAGCTCTTGCTTTGCATTTGGTAGGTTCTGGATTCAAATCTTAGACCAGAGACAGGCTATTCTGACATACTTTTGTGGTTTTCTCAGTTTCTCCAGGTGAGTGCTGGGACAGTACTTGAATTAGGCTATGGCTGTTTCCACATGCTTTTCAATTTATCATTTGGCACCATGTAGTCTGAGCTACTAACAGCATTATTAAATTTACAAATAAACGGTAAAGTAGTTGCTCAAGCTTCGCAAATGTCGCTTTGAGTTTGGTGTTAAATAAAATATATTTTTACTTAATATTCTCACAGTTAAAATTTGTAATTCAAAATTATGTTCCAATTTTAAACTTTATTAATACATTTTAAGAACGGATGTCAGTGTTATTCATAATAATCTTAGAACAACGTGAATTTTTAATGTGTGCAGTGACAACAGATAATATTTCACTGGAACTCAAATTTAACCCAAGAATATTTAATGGTATGCAAATCAGAAGTTACAAAAAACTGAAGTAATAAAAAGAAATGAAGGAAGATTGTTTTATTTCTTCTGTGATTTATTCTGATGTATGTGTAACAAATGAACATTTGTATGTCTTTAATCTATAACCTAGTGAACCATGTTCAGTACATAACTGACATTGAAGATTTATCATTTGGAAATTAGTGTGGTGGTTTCGATATTTTCACTGTAATTTGGTAATTTTGAACTCTGGTGTTGTAAGCTGCCAATGCTAAATATCCATTCCAATGTCAGTGACTGGTTGAAAGAAAAATATTCATGCTGTAACATGTACTGGGATACAGTGTTTCCACTTGTTCTTTGCACCTCTGCATTCTAAATGCTCATGACAATATATTCAGGAGCTCTTACCTATTTATTATTCAAGCTGGATGAAATTGTGATCCAGTTCATGTGTTTTCTCCTATTATTACTCAAGTGCAAGAATTTCACACGAAGAAATTATAAATCTAATTCAAACATTTAAATCCATTGTATATTTCCCTATCTGATCCAAATGTACCACCAAATAAGTAAATCTTATTAATATTATCTCGTGTAAAATTCTACCAACTCTTGTTTCTAGGCACATTATCCATTTGTTGTAATTGAAGTTTAATATAAACTGGAAACATGCATGATATTTTATGGTTCTCATGACAGTAAAACTGTTGATATTGGTCTTCTGGGTTATATTGCAATGTAAACTTGTGTTTCAGAGGTATGTATTACCTCATATTCAGCCCTAAAGATGGAGGCAGTATATTCCCCTGAAACATTGGTTTATACTTATGTCCACATGGCATTATGATCCATATGACCAGACAATTCTTCATGTTCCATGTCATTCAACTGAGGCACAGAATATTGTTCTACACATCACAAGACCTTCTAGCCCAAGGATTCACAACCTGCAGATTGAGTGCATGTCTTGTAGTATTGTGCCACTCTGTATGATGGAAAATAGTAATCTGACATCAGACAATGAACAGCTGTATACCTTAATCAAGAACTAGGATGCATCTTACTAATTAACATTTGGAAAGATGCATATGAATCATGACAAATTAAATCTAAAATTAAAAATAATGTAAAACATGTAACTAATTAATAATAATAATTTTGTTAACGTTATTGAGTAATAGACATAAGTGAACCTGTTTGCAGTAGTAGATCTAATTTAGTAGCAATTCTGATAAACTGACCCAACTAATAACTTTGCAGTGTATGTAATCAAGAGTGAATGTGGCCATAAGTCTGGAAAAGGTTGAGAACCCCTACCTACTGTAGCCACTTTACCCTGCCCACTGCTATATTGATAGGCCTGTCCCAGGACACAGCAGTGGCCAACAGCAGACAGTACTTCCAAGTAGTCAGCAATCTGGGCACTGACCACACCCAATGCTGCTTAGCTTCGATGAAGAGAACCAATATTCTAATATTGGCAGTGGGTATGAGAATCTGAATAGGAGAAGTAATACATTTCTTTTACCACACCAAACTGAACAGAGGATAGATAATGGGAAGGTAAATTTCTCTGTGGTGCTGCATGCAGTGAACCGCACCCTGCTGAGACATGAGTGGAATTATACCATGAATTCTTAATGATGGCACTAGATGCAGGTGAGTTCTTGATGCTCTGTCCACTTAACCCAAGGAGAGAACCCCACTACCAAAGACAAAGGAGGCTAAGCCAGCCTTAGAGTATGTTTGAATGTTGTGTAGTCTCCTAATATTGAACAATGAACTGGCATTTATCATCGGGCCAATGAGTACCCTAATGATGGAAACAACAGTACTGCTGAAACATCAGCAAACTTATACCAGACTACACAGTGCAACAACCCAGAAATGTGCCATCTTCATTCTTGCTGTGAGAACCCCAAAATTATCCAGATACATTATTCCTTTCCAGAACATATGAGACCAAATAATGAATAGTTTAAACTTGCCATATGATAGGATGCTAAAAAATAGAGTTTAGATTTCATCAGGTTTTCCAGAGTTAACATAGATTTCCAACCTAAAAGAAACTACTTGAATGGTACAAGGGCTACTTTTGGGGTTGTAAGATCAGTAATAAATACCTCAACCTTCATGTTTCTACATAACCTTTGCCATGAAAATTATAAGATGCACAAGGCTTTGTCAGATGGGAGAAGCATTATGAGTGGTGTGATACATGTAATCTGTAGCCTAACAGTATTCCTGAAATATCCTTACCTTTGCCATGTTAAAACTGAGCACTTCACTTTTCAGAAGTTACATCCAATGCTAGTATTTGAGGTTTATGATTTAATAATTGGTTTTTGAAGGGGATGTACTGTATGTATAAAGGACCAAATAGAATTTGTGTACAAAATTCCAATCTTGTGTTCTACTTAACACAAGATAATTACACCCACTTAATTCATATGCCCAATAAATCTTGTCTGCTTTTTAGTGAAACTTAGAATAACAGAGATATTACAAAATGGGTGGTGCAGTAAGTCACTAAAATGTGTAGCTACAGGGCTCTTCTACCAGGCTTATCACACCTCATCTATTTTGAAGTAAAATGTGTAGTGTTGCACCATCTTCACATGGGGATGCTTCAGTATTAGTCAATTACTCCTACCATACAATCACTTGGTAGGGCTTAAACATGTTGCTCCACACCCATTCCTCTTAACACAAGTGAAATACTGACAAAATTAAAATACTAATCATACTAGCAGGATCAGATTCCATACCACTTAGCTTTCTTTCCACTATTAAACCACTTATAATGGAATGGAAGAGGCAAATTCATAATGATTTTTTTAGAATATATACAAACCATATAATACCTGACCCTGAACAGGTATGGCACTGGCACCAGTGCAAGAGCTTGTTTCAGCCATTGCTGGAAGCAGGAAAGGTTTTGTACATCTTGCTATGATGTACCTGTACACTAAATACATATGTTTACTTACACACCTCACTACACCTGAAACCAAATTGCCATAATTCACTGCTATTGGGTGCTAGCTATACAGTATACCCTTATCCATCATAAACAGCTATCCACACAGCACGCAGAAGATAAACTACTACAGTACTGCTTAAGAAAGGGCCATGATATACGCGATTCGTAATTTTAACAAGTATTTTTTGAGTATTCGCTAACAAATAAACGGCCATGTCAATTAGTACGCATTGAAATGTGGTTGAAATAGATATTAGTTGTCTACAGACTAGTCGCAGTTACACTAAAATGCATTGTCGTCATTCCAACGGGTATCAAATAAATCAATTTGGTCTTTATGGATGACAGGCGGAAATCATAATACCGCATAACCCATCCCAAGGCAAGCTAATGCAAAATGGCGTCATGCATTACTAGACTGCCATTATGTCGGCGTCCCTTATTTTGTTTATCAGTAGAGACTAATTAAATTAGTACACATAATATGGAGCTCATGCAATGGAAGGATATAGGTTCCGACTATAATATTACAGAACTGACTCGGTATTTTCAACTTTCTTTACTCTTTTGCTTGACACACACTTCTGTGCATTGCAACAGATTACATGTTACCTGATCCCCTCAAAAACTTATTTTTGATGCTTTCATAGAAGTTACTTATGCCTTCATACAAAACAGTACTCCAGTCTTTAATAACATCGCATCTTCAGTTTCTCTCTTGATCACAATCACGACTTATGTGGCCAGTCTTGCCACACTGATAGCAACTTTTGGCTGAAGACCCCTCAGGACAGTTGCGTGCTATGTGCCCCGTCTTGTTGCAGTTGTAGCACGAGCCACCGGATCTACCACCGAAGCCGTTTGATGATTCTGGACATTCACGTGCAATGTGGCCAGTCTTGTTACAGTTGTAGCAGGATGGTCCATCAGAATTCTGTTGACAATCTCTCGAGATGTGGCCAACACCGTTACAGCGGTAACACCTGTCTTGTTCTTCTCTGCAATCGCGGGCGAAATGCCCAAAGCCATTACATTTGTAGCACTTGCTATCTCCACGTCCGCCTCCACCACCACGACTAAATCCTCCACCGCCTTGAGGGCATTCTCGAGCAAAATGTCCTGAGCGATTGCATTTGTAACACACACTTGAACTCATTGTAGATATTGCTTGTATTTAACTGCTAACAACAGAGCAATACGGACCTGCCTGCTCTCTACCACGTGGGAAAGTGAATGAGTGGCACTGTTTCCTGCTAGATCCGCTTGGAAGCACTGCTCCGGTATTACGCTTCTTGCCTGTTCAGGCAATATGGAATATGCACATCGATAGGAAATAATAACAACGCTCGCCGCAAACAGACGTGAATGGCGGAAGTAAAGTATCAAGTACTTCGTGATCGTTGTAGTGCATGGTACTGCAATTTAGAACTGCGATTAGCAGTAACTATCGAAGTGATTGTTTAAGTTGTGGGATTGTAATTCTGCCATTGTAGTTGGTGTATTATTGTTGTTCGTATGCGAAGTATGATAGAGATATTTGTGTAGAGTATAGTGTATTATCCTGAAACTACGGTTACATCCCCAGTTCACAAAATATTTGCCATTAAAATGGCGGATGAATGTGATAAAGAGGAGTCTCCTCCAGACGCTTATGATGACGATAAAGATAATGAAGAACCATCCGACGATGATGAAGAAGATTATCGGCCAATGCAAAAGTCAAGAGGGAGAGGAAATTTTAGGTGAAATATTTATATTCATGTAGGATTTAAGGTTTTCACAGCGGTGAGTCCGAAGATGGCTTTCCTCTGGATTGTTGTGCCGTGTACCGACGTTTCAGAGGGCAATGATGGAGGCAGCAAGAACCTCTGAAACGTCGGTAAACTTCTACCAGACTATACGGTGCAACAACCCAGAAGACAGCCTTCTTAATGTTCATATTAGCCCTGGGAACGCATGAGATTCTACGACTGTTGTATTTGTTTCACAACACTTCGTCGTGTTATTTTTGTGCTTTAGCACCAAAACATGTAGCTTAGTTTTGTACTGTACTGTTCTGAGTACTGTATGAAAGTGTCTACCACAATGCTAGACTGCTCTTT